TAATAGGCCTTGGGTTACTGCTGGTAATCCTGTCTTCCTCTTGTGAGATTAGAGGAGGTCAGAACATGTGGCCTCCTTGCCGTTTTTGCACCTTGCCAACAGGGACGATATGTCCTGCAAAGCCTAAAATACTTATTATGGGGCTCTTTCTTTACAGAAAAAGTTGGCTGGCCCCATAGTATAATATCAGTACCTCAGCTCCTGAATATCACTATTTACATGTCCCACAGACAATATAACTCAACAGGGTTAAAAATGTGTGCACCTCTGTTCTATCTTCAGTGTTCTCTCTGGCAGTTAATGGCATTACCATCTACCAATTCATTCTTACTAGAGGCCTCCTTCCCTTTACCCTCACACCCCATCTATATTACCCTACTTGCCATCCATCACTACATCCTACTAATTTTATCTCTCCACTATATTTTGAATCTGCCCATATCTCTCCATTTCCACTGCCACTACCTTAGTACAAGTTACAATCATTTTGTACAAGATTGACAACTATCTAGTTTATCTTCCTGCCTCTAGTTTTTTCCACTCTCTACCGCCAATCCACCAGCCACTCCTCAGAAAGACGATGGGGTAATCTACTTCCGTAGTGATACTACCCCAGAAACCCAAGGAGGGGTCGCTATGAGTTGGGTCCGACTCGACAGCACATAACAACAACAGCAACCTCCAATCCATAGTCTGGTCAATAAACAAAAAAATCTGTCCAAATCTAATCTGATTCTGCCACATACATAATAATATATATGGCTAAGATTCAATGAACCTGTTATGGATTGAATTATATCCCCCAAAATATATGTTGTAAATCCTAACCTTTTTGCCTATATTCCATTTGGGAATGGGTTGACTTTGTTATGTTAAATGAGACAGCATTAGTGTAGGGTGTATGTTGAGTTAATCTCTCTTTTTTTAAAAAAATACATTTTATTGAAATATAATGTATGTACAGTGGAATACATAAAATTAAAGTGACATGGGTCAATGCATTCTTTTTTTTTTTTTTTTTGCAGTGTTCCCTGCCCTCCTCTCCCACCCCTGGTCACCAACAAAGTTTCCTTCCAAATATAAACCTTTCCTTGACTTTTTACAATAATAATATCATATTTGTCCTTCTGTGATTGACCTATTTCACTCAGCATAATATCCTCCAAGTTCATCCATGTTTTGCGGTGTTTTGCAGATTCTACATTATTCTTTAGTGTTGCACAGTATTCTATTGTGTGTATGTACCATAATTTGGTTACCCATTCTTCAGTTGATGGACACATAGGTTGTTTCCATCTTTTTGCTATTGTAAATAGTCCTGTGATGAACATAAGTGTACATATATCTCTTCTTGTCTGAGTTAAACAAGCAAGCAGAGAGAGAGATGGGGTAAGATAGATGCCAAGACATATGAAGATCTCCAAGGAACCAAGAAGCAGAAGCTGAGGAGACAAATGAAGAGAGCTATAGAGAAAGCCATCCACTTGTGGTATTTCTATTACAGCAGCGCTGGATAACTAAGATAGCCCTTACCATATGCCAGGCATAGTTCTAAGTGCCTCACATGTAGTAACTAATATTAATCCTTACAACAATGCTATAAGGTAGATGCTATTATTATCTCCATTCTATAGATGAAGTCACTGAAGAACAGACAGGTTAAATAACTTGCTCAGGGTCACACAGCTAGTAGTGACATATCCAGGAGTTGAACCAATGTGATCTAGCTCTGGAGTTTACAATCTTAACCACTGTACTATACTGCTTACCACACACACATATACACATATTTCTTATAGCTTCCTATTGCCATTAAAATTAATCCATACTATTAACAATGGCCAAAAACTATAATTTTGGTCTGATCTAACCCCTGCCTACGTTCACCATCTTATAGTTCCAGCTGCAGCCACCCTTGGCTGTTCCAGTTCTCCATACAAGTCATACTCTTTCTCAACTCAGTGCCTTTACTCATGTTATTCCTTCTGCTTTGGCTATTTACAAGAAGCTCTGGTGACAAAGTGCTTAAGGCATTTGGCTGCTAACAAAAAGGTCAGTGGTTTGAACCCACCAGCTGCTCTGAGGGAAAAAGATGAGGCAGTCTGTTTTCATAAAGATTTTCCATATGGAGCAGTTCTACTCTGTCCTACAGGGTCACTATGTGTCGGAATTGACTCGTTGACCATGGGTTTTGGCTATTCACTTCCTTTGCCTCTCCTCACCTCCTCCTAGCCAACTCCTGCACATCCTTTAATGCTCCACTCAGGTACTGCTTCCTACAGGAAACATTCACTGAGCAGTTTAGATTCATTCCTCACTTGGGAATTATGCCTGTTGCTATTTATTTCAATGCACTTCTTATGCTATTTGATAATCATTTATACATATGTCCCTTCACTAGACTGTGAGCTCCTAGAGGACAGGAATTATGACCTACTACTCTTTGCCAGGCTCTAGGGATACAAAAAACTGTGAATTTTTGGACTCTTTGTATCCCTAGAGCCTGGCACTCAGCAGGTGCTCAATAAACATTTCATGAATAAATGAAGCCCACACAGAAAAGGAACTTACCAAAGGTCACACATCTAGTTAGAGGAAGAGTTATCAAATTCTAAAGCCTATGTTCCTTCCCATGTTTCACAGATGATTCAGAGAAATTAAGTGATTCACCCAAAGTTACACAGCAAAATCCAGATTAGCACGCAGCTCTGGGAACTCTGGTAGCATAGTGCCTAAGACACTTGACTGCTATCCAGGAGGCTGG